GGCAAGCAAGATGAAAAGGAGGATTTAGTGAGAAACCGGGGAGCCTCCCAAGAATAAACATTGTGTAACTAAGAGCCCAGTGCTAAAAAAGGCCAGAGAATGGCTACACTTCCAATGCCAGAATTAGCACACAAGTAGGAGCTTCCTTCTGGATAAAAGCACTTGCATTCATTTGAATGGACTTGAAGTAAAGGTTTTACTGGTGTTATAGGAGGCAAGTATTATTAATGTTAAAAAGAACTGAAGGACTCCTTTTGAATTTGAAATAAAACTAGCCCTTTTGTAGAAAGAGACGTGATATATTTTCCTCAGTGTCAAGTTATTGTATTTAAATAGTTCTGTACAGTTCACTCTACAACAAACCCTTCCATTATCCCTTTCTGTGAAATCAAAATGTTCCTTTAGTGTTTCAAATGAGTAGTAATCTGATGTACCTGCTTAGCATATGATTTATCTATGACTAGAGACACACAGGTAATCTAAGCTTTGTATGATGGGTACCTGCTACTGTTAACTTCTTGAAAAAAATTAAAGTTCTGTGGTTTCCTGGCAGACTTTTATGTAATACATGACTTCTTTCAGTCTTAACTAAAAAAAATATCAGGTACAAGCAGAATTAGAAAATAAAATGAGATTACACCAGTTCATCTAGAACAATTTGCTTGAGTGCTCTTACAGATGAGGCTCTGCAGAGTAAAATTTTGTTTTACTCTCCACTAGCTCAGTTCCCTGACTGTCATCATTCTGACTGACTGCCATCAGTCACTGCTCCCTGCCTGTCATTGCTCTCATCCAAGGACGTACTTATCGTCTGTGGCTCTGCCTAGCCTTTTGTGTAGTCCAGCACATACATACCCACAGTCTCCACTCAAATCTTATGCCATCTGAAATAAATTGCCAAAATGCACTTCACCTTACAACCAGCAAGTAGTTGGTATTGATGACAGTAGTCAAGCAGAAAGTTGTCCATATTTTCTTTATTCAATGTCTAATTTTTAAAATAGAACAGTTCTAGAATGCCTAAACACAAAACAGGCATTATCATTCATATTGGAGATAACCTACAATATAGACCTTTTTTTGTGGATTAGTATTTCCTCCCTAGGGCTTTTCTTTCTTCACTTAACAGAACTGATTCTGTATCAGTTAGGAATATTTCCATATTCCTCTCCTGTTCCTGAATAATTGATTTGGATCTGTTTGGTCCATCTTGTTATATTTTACAGAATAAATGACAACCTGAGAAATTATTGAAAAGATCAGGACACTGTCTCCTAAAAGAAAACAAAAAATTGAACTACTTCCACTGTAGGATAACCTAAAGTATAACTTTTTAAAAAATTACACTGGTGACTTTTTGAAGGAAATAAACAGAAGAAATTATGCTGGAGGCCTCCATCTTCATATTTATAAGAGAATATGAGGGGATGAAACAAGCTGCTCTGCATTCCATGTAGAAAGGATTCCTACTCATTAACACATATAAATGCTGATGGATAATTAAGTAATTTGGGAGACAGACCATGCATATGGGAAGCATTTTTGGTATTTTATGACCCCTTACACTGACCTATGTAATTACTGTGGTGCTGGCCAACACAGCGACATAAAATCTCTGTGAACATCTCCATTACAAAGTCTGTTTCAATTCTAAATGACCTTTCTTTTTATTTGTTACACCGGGATCAAAAAAAGATTGTTAAATTCTGTTAATTCCCTCCAATGCTATTAAAGAGAAAAAGAACATGTAAACTTTATTAAGTAATCAATTCCTAACCCACCTGCAATGTAGTATTAGAAAACAGAGCTAACTTATATTTGGCAAGAACAATTCATGTCAAACCAAACTAATTTCCTTTTCTGACAGGGAAAATGGCTGAATGGATAAAAAGAAGCAGTAGATGTGACATTTTTACTGTAGTAACATTTTTACTACAATATAGTAAAACAATATCAATATAGTATAAACAATAGTTATAAATCATAGGACTATATTAGAATAGATGGTGCTACCTTGAGCTGGAGCAAAACTTACTGGTAAAAAAGGAGTTTAGGGAATAGCTGTTAATGATTTGCTCTCAGATAAAGAGAGTGTATCAAGTGGAGATGACCAGAATCTGTCCTGAGACCTAGCCTATATGTTCATCTAGGCTTCCAACTTTTGGAAGAGAAATTACAAAAGTACAATTGACACCAAGCTGGGGGGGAATGACAGTAATTTGGAGGTTCGTTTCAATATCATCCTGAGATGAAAGTAGACCAAAAATGGAAAAGTTGAGCTTCAGAAATAACAAATGAAAGGTCCTATACCTGGGAAAATGAAATCAAGTGCACCAGTACAAAATGAAAATAACTCTCTGGGCAGCATCGTGTAAAAAATGGGACTTGCATTAACTTCCTAAACTCTTCTGTATACCGACAGTGTGAATTACACTTCTTTTATATAATACCAATGATAAACACACAATTCTTATGACATCTTTTTCCTCTGAAATGAATTTAACTCATGCTTTTCAGTAAGGAATATCTCAAAATTTACCTTTAAAGTATCTGAGCTGACTTCCTGAATTGATGGGGATTAAAAAATTAAAAAATGAAAGTACAAATTTCTAATGGTGGAGAAAGGGGACAAAAACCTGACGTGTGCATGCAGCATAGGAAGAACAGGATGGGCACCTTAAGACAAGAAATATCTATAAACTATTTGTCAGCTAGCTTGGCTTAGGAACGTAAGAGCGAGACAGGGGCATTTCACCAGCTCACAACCTTTCTGTGGTACTTGGAAACAGAGAAAAGTGCTCACTGCAGCACTAAATCAAATACATACTGACTTAAATAACACTACAAATAATACACTTGCCAACTGAGAAATCTGTCGGATGTAGCAGCTGTCCCTCCATCTCTATGCTTTGGCCAACTCATCAGCTTCCACACAACATGCACTCCTAGCACCTCACTCCAACTATGCCCAGGGGTTTTGGACTTCTGCGCAACAGGAGAGGATGATTCTCCATGAGCCACCTGTAGCCAAGCGTAAGCAGGTACAGTGAGTGGGACCACCATGATGTCAATGGGTGCACAGGGCAGAGATAGCCATGCTAGCGTGAAGCTCTTCTGTCACAGTAACACAGAGCTCTGCACTGCTTAACTTACCTACTTTCTGTCAGTTTGGGCATGTCTGTGCCACACCGTGGAATATGTGGAATCGTGGTATTCCATATGCTGCAAAACTGTGGAATATGACCACAGGCATGCAAGTAACAATCATTATTAAGTGCCTCTGCTGTTGAACTGTTGAAGCCACAAGCTGTATCATGTGGACAGGGAGATGGAAGTGCGTTATGGCTGACATGGAATCAAGATCCATTAGAGGGTCTTGCACATGGAAGCTGGCCTGGCCCTGTGCTAAATGTGCTGTGGGGCTAAAACGGGGGTGTAGTTTCCATGTGGTGAATCAAGCACCATTCCTGAGCTATACACTCACTTTAAATTAGCATGCAATTTTAAAATAAATATTACAGATGAAAAACAATTTACATTTTACAACTCACACTATTTGTTTTGATGCAACTCTCTGCATCAGGGTTCCTGCTCTGCAAGGGCCAGTTGACATGTCTTATTGTCTTTAACTAGTTCACATCTACCTGCTTAAAGCCAATTTTTTATCCTTCATCATATTTTGGAAAAGCAATTCTGCAGGAGAAAAACTCATCTTAAGTCTTTGGTGTTCATACCAGGGAGAAGAACCTGATCAAGTAGACAAGTAGTGTGATCTCTCTTAGCACTAAGAGTTGTATCATTCATCCAGAGATCCCTGTAAATGACAGTCATCTTGGACATTCTGTGCCCTCACAGTGTTTTTAAAATCCTACAGATGTTTCAGACGTTTAAAGAAATGCTTTTATCTTCTGCAACCACACAGGTATTAACATACACAATGCTTACAGAAAGACACTGGATAAAATGATTATTTTTAGAATTTCCTCACTTCATAAAACAGTACAATAGCTACGATGCTACAAATAACTCACTATGAATTCTTCTGATAAGCAAACAGAGGAAGTGTAAGTTTAGGAAGAGACAAGAAGTTCAGAATAGACAATGTATTAAAATACTAGGTTTAGTACAGTTAGGAAAAAAATATATAAATATTAGCTTTACTTTGGGTCAGTAAAAATACAAACAAGATTTTATTCCACAGGTCAACTTGCAACTTGGGCAGAAATGCCTATCACTTAATAATCATCAAGGAGTCCAAGTTTTGTCTGAGATAAAAAGCAACCAAAGCAGGGACCGATTAAATTCATGACCAACTTTCTGACTTTTAGAAACATATTTATTTATGTTATTACAAAGTGGGTTTTAGTTGGACGATGTATTTTTTGTTTGAGACTCCCACTATACTACTGTGTGGGTTTAGAAAAGTGTTTTAACTTTTCTGAAGTATTACATATTCTGTCAGTTGAGAACCAATAAAGTCACAGCAGAGTTTAAAACCACTGGCCAGAAGCTGGCCTTGTGTGTTCTTCTCCAAATCGCATGACAAGTTGAAGAACTTTCATAAGAAATGGAGCATCAGCCATCTGATTACAGCTGGCTTTGTATGCGTGACCTGACTACCTGGAAATGACTGAACTGGTATTAGCTAGTTAAGGTGAAAAAATAAGTGTGCTGGAAATGGATACTGAAGGACTGTCAGTCATTTATTTTGAGGCTTTCTTGAAGCACTACTACAGTGAGTCCTGCTGCTGTGTGTCTGAGGAGTAACTTCAGCTCTCTGTAGATCAGCACCCTTATTTTGGCCTGCCTTCCACTGAACGTGCCCAGTTCTGTTATGGATCCCTACCAAGAAAACTGATAAGTAGCTTCTAATTTCCCTCTGGCTACATTTTAGGGAATATATTTGGAGACATTTAATAAGCTGCAACCCGTGATTTTCAAGCTAACTTGTGTTCCAATACTGGGATTTTATAGGCGTTTTTTGACAGACTCAAACTTACCTATAGTGCTGCAGTTCCGATTCTAGCTGCTGAATGTATATTTGCAGATGTGGCACTTCGTTTGCTTTCACTTCTAGCTCCTTCACTTTGCCAAGACTGGTAAGGACAGCATGTCTGGCCTCTTCAACCTTCTTCCTCATCTCTGCTTGTTCCCTCTTCAGGTTACGGTTGCAGTCTTCCAGATTCACCAGAGCTTCCTGAGAGCTCTTCAGCTCTCTTTCCAACTCTTGATTGAACTTAATTGCTTCTTCAATTTGCCCATCCCTGGAGCTCCGAATGAGTTCCACTTCTTTCAGGACACTTTGGAGGCACTGAGTCTGGGAGTGGTTCTGCGTTAACGGTCTCTTACTCCCTATAAAACAGGTCCCCTCTTCCTTATGGTTATTACGGCTTTTCCGCAGTCCTACCTATAATGAACAGAAGCAGAATGCAGGGCAAAATTAGTGTTTTAAAGCAAGTGACATTTTAATCAAGACTGAAAATGGCTAGATTGTGTTTTGTTGTAGTGGTTCTTTTAGCTTAAATGACATATGACCTTTAATACCTATACAGAGATGTTGAAACAATCTCTGGAAAGCAGTTTTTAAAGTAGTATCTATAAAATTAATTTTAAAACTACTCATTGAAGAGGAAAATTAGGTTACTGAACAAGTTTCTGTATAGCTTTAGTGTCATTACTATAGTCTGTCCTCAAAAGACAAGTAGTATTCTGAAAAAAATATTTCCAGTTATGTTTTTTTCAGTTGTGTTCAGTAGAAGTGACCAGAGAGCCACTGATGGAGTGTTCATCTTTGTCCTTCTGATTTTTTCTGGGGCCTTTGACTGGTGACTTCTCATTTGTGACTTCCTCTCACTTTTCAAATGAAAATGGTAAAAGTGGCTTTGACCTGCCATGCTGGACATTGCAAAGATGGACAACCAGCTAATGCCAAATGGAAGTGTCACACGTGGAGCAGAGTCCTGTGAGTGCTGTGTTAGTATTAAATCCAACCTGATCAGACCCGCCAGAACAACTTGTGAACTCAGCCCTTCAGTCCTTTGCCTGTTCTATGCTATTTCATGCCAGAGTCATTTAACTACTGTTAAGTATGTGTGTGTTTCACTTGAGCCAATACATCAGAAACAGAAACCCGCCCCAGAATTAATGGGGCTCTGAAAAGGAGCCAGAGACTATTCATCAGCCCTTCTGCAGAACTGGCTCCAACTCTGAAGTCTCATGCTCTGAAGAAAACAGACCTCTAATGTTTCTGAGGCAAAGCTCTCAAGCATTTATGACTGGGTCATTGCATGTGCTTGTGCAGGTAAGAATACAAAAGTTCTGACTTTGGAACACCACCACCCCCCCCCGATTCATAACTGGTATATAAGTGACCAACTGCATGCACAATGGAAAAAGCAGCACTGCACACTTAGGTTTGTTAGATTCTTCTATAAATTCAGCAGGGTGGCTTTCAGCACATCCCTTAAATCCCTGTCGGGTCACACAGGTGAAGACACAGCGTTTCTCATTATAGATTCACAGCCTCATCAAGGTTGGAAAAGCCCTTGAAGCTCCTCCAGCACAACCATGACCCTCCCCCTGACCGTTCCCAACTCCCCCAGATCCCTCAGCGCTGGCTCAGCCCGACTCTCCAACCCCTCCAGGGATGGGGACTCCCCCCCTGCCCTGGGGAGCCCATTCCAACGCCCAACAGCCCCTTCTGCACAGAAATCCTTCCTCAGAGCCAGCCTGACCCTGCCCTGGGCAGCTTGAGGCCATTCCCTCGGGGCCTGGCGCTGGGGCCTTGGCTCCAGAGACTCATCCCCCCTCTCTGCCCCCTCCTGGCAGGGAGTTGCCGAGGGCCAGGAGGTCTCCCCTCAGCCTCCTCTTCTCCAGACT